TTCCCCAGGAGCTGCTGCCTGGAATCTCCCACCCCCGCCCCTTTGGACAAAACAGCTTTTCAGGGTTGAGCAGGAGGAGGGGAGGGGCGCCCCAGGAAAAGCATCGCCCGCCCACTGGGCTGGCCACTGCCCAGGGAAAGCTGGTGGTCCCAAGGACGATCTCGGGGCATCCTGGCATTCCAGCTCCCCTCTCGGGGGAGGGGGTGCCTGCAGGGAAAGCGACGTGGGAGTGGGTGGCGCTGTGCCCAGAAGGACCCATCGTCTCTCCGTTCCCCTCTTGGCAGAAAAGCCGGCCAAGTCCAGCAAAGGAGAGAAGGAAGGAATCTGGAGCTGGGGAGACCCTTCCTTTTCCGCACGACGGCCACTCCCAGCAGAGGTCCAAAAGGTAGGTCTCCTGACCTCTGGCAGGGGAGTTCTGCCAGGCGCCACGGGGTGGCCCTTCAAGCGACACGCGGAGCGAAAACCAGGGACTTCGGATCGGACCTTTCACTAAAGGGTAGTAGCGCCCACTGGGCGCTCCCGAAGGCCGGCCCGTGGTGGCCTGACAGGGTCCACGCTCTGCTGCCACAGGCCGCCCAGTGGCTTCCAGTTAATGGGGATCTGAGGGATTCATGGGCGAGCGGGGCAGCCTAGAGAGCTTGGTGTATTTGGGAGACACGGAAAACCTCCCCATTGTGGGTCTTGGGGGAAAGAGCCAGGCTGTGTAGCCTTGGGCAAGATGCACCGTGGTCCCAGAGCGCCCCCAGATGGAGAGAAGGGTAAACCACGCCTGAATACGCTCTACCTGGAAAATCCTGGGAAGTCAGAATTGACTTGACGGCACCCACACACTATTATGAATTAACCACCTCCCAGAGGCCCTGACCTTAACGGCCCTGCTCAGATCTTGCAAACCGGAGAGGTGGCTTCCTTTACAAAGTCACTCCATCTTCAGTCTTCCTCTTTTCCTGCTCCCCTCAGCTTTTTCTAGCATTTTGGCCTTCTCTGTTGAGCCACTTTCACCTTGGCGGTCACAGGCAGGAGAACAAGACTGTCCCCTTCCGTCCCCATGAGCCAAACTGACCTGCAGTCCTCTCTAAAGGCTAACATGATGATCTCCACTGCTGTGTCCACTCAGTCAAGACAGTGTGCTGGAAGGGAGCATGTCGCAGCAGACTTGCTAATGGGTGGGCGCAATGTGACCCCTCTGCCTGCCAGTGACCCTTCAAGTTGGCTATGCTGTGGGTGTGTGTGATGGGAAGACGAATCTGACTTGTCTTGGGACCAATGAGCCACTTTCACCTTGGCGGTCACAGGCAGGAGAACAAGACTGTCCCCTTCCGTCCCCATGAGCCAAACTGACCTGCAGTCCTCTCTAAAGGCTAACATGATGATCTCCACTGCTGTGTCCACCCAGTCTCAGCATGTCTCAGCAGACTTGCTAATGGGTGGAATAGGGGTCCCTGGCCAGCCCCTTCGGGCGCC